TCATCTCCCTCTTGATCATGATGCCATATAATAGTGGGTACTACTAACAAGATCAAAATTTTAAATCAAATAATGTGTCATCAATAGGAAATAAGCATGTTAATCAATGTTTAAGTAATAATCTAATCATTAACAACCACATTATTTAGTTTATAAATTTAATTTTAAAAATGTGATTCTCTTAACATTATCCAAAGAATGCCAGATTAGACAATATGTATCATGATGATGTTGCTTGCTATGCGCGAAACAACAAGTATGTGGCTAAGACCTAGGGCTGGTTCAGAGATTTTTGAGGTTCTGGGCGATGCCAAAAAATGTGACATCCCACATCGCCCAAGGGAGTGATCCTTAAATGTATATTCTTATCCCTACCTAGCACGAGGCCTTTTGGGAGCTCACTGGTTTCGGGTTCCGCAGGAACTCCGAAGTTAAGCGAGAAGGGGGCTAGAGCAATCCCATGATGGGTGACCCACTGGGAAGTTGCTCGTGAGTTCCAAAAAACAAAACCGTGAGGGAATGGTAAGCCCAAAGCGGACAATATCGTGCTACAGTGGTGGAGCGGGCCCTGGAAGTGATCTGCCCTGGACGGGGATGTGACAAAAAATGTGCCCTCACTTCATATAAAAAATTATTTGTTTTTGCACATAAGACATTGATAAATTATATTTAGAAAAACACTTCAAACTCAGTAATTTATAAACATGGAAAAACTAATGTATTTTGTATCGAGAGAAGGAAACCAAAAAACTTCATGCTTACAAGTAGATAGATTATGAGTTTTGTCTTCCATCTGAACTTTTAAAATGTTTTTGTATAAATCGTGAGATGTTTTTTCTTATTTATTAACCTTGTCAATATAAGACTAAAAAAATAATGATATTTCGAGTTTTTAAGAATATGTATAAGTAATGAATGGGCACCATTAAACATTTTGATGACATATCATATGATTTGCAAATTTGGTCTAAAAATTTAGTCTACGCATTACCCTTTGTTGAAGATTAAACTTGAATTGGAACGAATGTTTAAAAATAGCAACCCACCTAGTTACTAGCTTGTAATTAAAAATAAATTAACAACCAAACAAAAATTCTTAAAGATTGAAAAAAATAAACATGCACATATCATTTCGAACTTAGGACCTCTCATTAATATTAAATACAAAAATCATTGTTTCTAATTAAACTTCTAATCATTTAGCCAAATTTTATAAGTTTATATTGTTATGAAAAGAAATTTGTAAAAATTGAAATTTAAATAAGCACACATGGTGTTTTGAATTGAAGACCTCCTCATTAATTTCAAATAACAAAATCACTTGTTCTAGTTAAATTTCTTTGTCATTAAACCAAATTTTATAAATTTATACTTTTATAAAAACGTATATAAATATGTCACACTAATAATTTTGGTGCTCCTAATTTTTTTGGGCCCTATACGGTCGTCTTGCCCACACTGGACCTGGGCCGACCCTGTGAGACCCCAAGACAATTGTGAAAAATTATTGAATTAATAATAACATTCATTGCCCCTCACTCATTGAGCAATTAGATACATAATACTTAATGACAACACTTTTCGCTATGATTAATCACAGCTGAGCGTTTGTTTGATCTACTCTTTCCTTTTTATATTAAAATAGTATAAAATGTTTGCATTCATGTTCATGCCAAATCAGTTTTCTTTTTCTAACTACAAGCGGCAATGTATATCAAATTCATATAAATTATAACAATGAAGATTCGACATGAGTGCAGAGATAGGATCCTCGCCTGATCTTTTTTGTAAGGACTTCGGAAATTTTTTAATCATGTTCATTTATTGTATTTCGTGCAGTTAATTTTCGTCAAGTACTGTTTATATTCAATTTTAAATAATATAATTTAAAATGATTTCTGACGATATGTACAATGAAAAGATATGATTAAAAGATCATCGGGATCTTCACAAAGAGGATCCGACGAGAATCTTATCTCATGAGTGCAGAGAAATAAGCACATTATTTAGTTAACTTGGCTAAGTCAAAATATGTAATTGTTGGATGGCTCTGGCCACCATCGACACCTCTCCATTTTTTCCGGCATACCCCTTTGAAGTTTCGACAACCATTGATGCTCTCCATTTTCTGACTCCTTTCTCTCTTGTTTCTCTTTGCAAACGTAGATCCAATCAATTAGGAAAGAGAGGCCGGTGTGAAGTGGAGTTATACGGTGCGAGAGAACAGAACAAATTATATAATCTCAACTACATATCTTGGAGTGGCGGCGTATATAACAAATTTACAATTTATACATATACCAATCATGAAGGAAAACCCAATACAACAAGAAGAGTCAAACGACAATTATATGACTATGCTTTTATTGGACAGGAATTGCCGAATTGGTTTCCAATATCTACTACAAGAGGCTACGTTGATGACTGATTTGGAGTTGCAGATGCTTTGGTTTATCAGACGGGAGCATAAAGCGAAGTCATGTTTGGTGCAAACGCCGACAGAGTCTGGTGGTTCCTATTCTTCTTAAGAGTATAACAGTTGTCAACAACCTCAAGGAAAATTTTTGCTAGGGAGGAGTGCAGAGGTGTGGTAGGGTTTCGGTTAGAGATTGAGTGTAGAGATAAAAACACACCTTCATTTTCCTTTTCTTATTTATTTTAAGGGCAAATTTAAACATTTGACGGATAACATTATTTACTTGGGTGTATGGATAAAATAAATGAATTCAAATAAAATTTCCCCTTATGTTTCCCAATCATCTTTGTATTTATCGGTTGTATGAGAGGTGTTATTTACTTTTTACAGGGTTCTAGTTTGTTTATTTGAATCGGCCAATCTATTGTGATATCTCTTGAGCTATTGGAGGTGATTCCACTTTTTTATATGCTCGGTTGCTCCAGTTTTGAGTATTTTTTATTTTAAATAACTACCGAAAACATATGCAGTTACTCAACTAGTTTAGACGTGTCAAAATGACTGGTCATGTTAGCTCGCAACTTAGCATACAACCAGATTCCATTGAGGTTCGGACTAGTTAACCTTTTATCGACACTTGGACCGCTTTTTAGGTTCTCCTCGCCTTGGGGCCATTGGCCTTGAAGGGTGAATTTGAGCTCGTTAAGTCGAGATAGATGAAAATAGGCATCAACAAAGCCTAATAGACCAATAATCTGCTTTTTGTTTTCTTTTCTTTCGTGCGGAGCCGGTTAATACTCGGGTAATCCAATGAGCTTTGTTATTTAGACACAACATTGGTTTTATAACTATTTTTGATACAATGATATTGAGATGTGAGATTTGGACTAAATTACATAATGTGTCATCTATTTTGGTATCAAATTTGTCATAGTCGAACTTGAAGTCTCCTTCTTATAAATAAAAAATAATATCATTAAATAGTAACAGTAGCAAATAACCTTCTTGAAATTAAATAAAAAATGGTTAAACAGGATAATATTTGAAGGCTTCATAAGAAACAACATTATATGAAGGTTAAATTCTTCTCTCGGTGCCACCCACTCATTTTCCAAAGGTCATCTGCAACTCTCTTCGTCGAAGTCTCGATGACGGCTACCACTGTCACAGCACTGCGTCAGATGTCTTAGAAGGCTGACATTGAGATGATGTTGGCCTCCGAGGTCCATCTGGGCACCAAAATTTGACAGAAAGATGTTGCGCGTCGAGGTTCATCTGGGCACCAAAAATTGATAGAAAGACACGTCTTCAAAGACGCAACAATTGCAAGCATCATATCTCCCCCTTAATTTTCCTCCGATTTACTTATTTTTTGGTAACGTAATATAAAATTTCAGATTTTTGAAAATGTTTTAGTTGGTGTTGTGGAGCGCGAATTTCAGCTCTCAAAATACAAAAAATAGGGGGGTCCCGGGTTCGAGGTTCCAAGCTGGTGAGTCTACTTGACCGTGGGCAAGAGAAAGCTGAAATGAGGTGGTGGACCAACAAATGGTGCTGGGGATGGAGTAACTTAAGTTTAAAATTGGGAGGTTGCGACGATTTGGGGTTGGGAGTTCTTAAATATAATTTGGGGGTATTGGAAAGGACTGGGGTTCTCGGGCTCTGTATAAAAACAAAGATATTTTACTTTTTAAATATTTTATAATATCTGGCTAAAAAACGCTATCATTTCGGCTAGGTCTTTTAAAACAAAAATTAGAAACCTCTTCTTCTTCGTTATAAGCACTGCTGCATGCACATCCATGGAGGCAACAAGCTTCTCCACTGCACATGCCCAAATTGTTGAAGGGTCCCGAAGATCGATCATAAGTGTTTCTTTGGGCTTCCAGGGGGTATATATATGTGTGTGTGTATTCTTGCTGGGTTTGTAAAAAATTGTGATGGGTTGTTTTGTTGTGGATGGGTTTTTGTTTACATGTGAAGCAAACTATCAATTTTTGGGTCTGAAATCTCAAGAATTTTGCAATTTTTTATATGATAGATGGCAATGGTGGCAATTGCTAGAAGAAGAAAGGAGGTTCAGTTTGATAAGATTGTTGTATGTTTAACTGTGGATTAAACAAGGTATTTGAGTGATAACAACGTACTTTGAACATGGGGAAGATGAAATGTTTAATGGAAATAAAATGAATATTTAATTGAAATTGAAGTTGAAGTAAATAACATAAATATTTTGTTATATATCAGAACTTTTTTTTTCGTTCTTTTTTATAATTCTGCTTTTTACTTTATGATTGAACTAAACGCTTCTCTAAGTTAGTTCAGTTTACTCTATTCTAAGCCAGTCTAGCTTAATTTTTGAAACTAGTTCAGTCTGAGATAATTTAATGTAATAAACGCACCCTTTATATGGAGGAGGATTCTCTACTCTCTTATTCTCATCCCCTTACACCTCCTCCTCTTACATATTAATTTTTGTCTTATTATCTCTATAAAAAAATTAATATAAAATATTAATATGATTTAATCGTGACGATTCAAATAGAAATGTAAGAGATTAGGAAGGTAAATAATTTTCCTCGCCAAAAAAGTCCACTTAATCACTCTCTCTCTCTCTCTCTCTCTAGCCCGTCTGTCTGTCGTCTATAAACGCTACAACACCATTTCCGATGACTTCTGGGGACCGTAATTACTGAAACTCAGGCTGCTTCCGCTGCTGCTTAAACCCTGCCACATGTCCGAAAACGACGTCGTGACGCGGACGTTCCGGGCCCTGGTGGAGGGCGCCGACCGGAAGTTTGCTAGGGTTCGCGACGTGCCGGCGTACGGACGCCTCCACAACCAGCACTACTTCCACAAGGTCTTCAAGGCCTACATGCGCCTATGGAAGTACCAGCAGGAGAACCGCTCTAAGCTCGTCGCCGCCGGCCTGAACCGCTGGGAAATCGGCGAGATCGCCAGCCGGATCGGCCAGCTCTACTTCGGCCAGTACATGCGCACCAGCGAGGCCCGATTCCTCGTCGAGGCCTACGTCTTCTACGAAGCCATTCTCAGCCGCAGCTACTTCGACGGCTCCACCGGTTCCAGAGGTTTCGGGAAGAAGGATATCGGAGTCCGCTTCAAGGAGTTGAGATTCTACGCCCGGTTTTTGCTTGTTTCCTTGATTTTGAACCGAACCGAGACGGTTCGTCTTCTCGCCGAGCGGTTCAAATCGCTTGTTGATGACTGCAAAGCCAATTTTCGGGTAATTTCTCGTTGTTTTCTAGGCATTAGGATTTGTTTGGTTTCTGAGAAAGTGAGAAGTGAGAACCAATTAATCATACAAATTATTAGAATATTTTGACTGGGTTCTTAATATTCTAGGAAATACAGTGCACTAACAAGTCCAAGATAAAATCTTTCTCAAATTTAAGGACAAATTTTTATGGTGGTTGCTGTGATTGGATCAATTGTGCGATTTATAGTTGCACTTCTGAATTTTGTTTCACCTTTTAGATATATGCAATCTAGGGTCTTCTGTCTTCGGTTTTCAAGCTAAGATTCATTTCTATGTGCTGTGTGAATTGTCATTTTACTAAGTGAAAAGGACCTGTCACGTAAAGTCGAGTGTTGCCATGCTGTTATGAAACTTATTAAAGAAATGTGAATTCCTCCTTAATGAAAATGGTACCGCCAGCTGAGTTGTTCCGTGAGGAAGGCAGCTCACCAGCTCAGGTGGGTCTGAAATCCACATCATGTTGATGGGGAGATAAGGGAGAACATCTAGAAAAACCCAGTCGCCAATCGAAAGTCTCGTTTGCAATATACTCATGAGCTGGTTATTTTTTGTAATTTAGAACAACTGCAAGCACATTGGGTAGCTAATTTTAAACATATGAGAATTTTGGTGGTGTATGATTGAAGCTCAGATCAAGTACAAATTGGCTAGATTTAAAATTTTATAAGTTGAGACTAAATTTAGCATCTCATGCATACGGAGATGGGAATACTTCGTTGGATGTGTGGGCACACGAGAAAGGACAAGATTAGGAGCGAGGATATTAGAGTTAAATTAGGAGTAGCCGAAATTGAAGATAAGATGGGAAAAAATCGGTTAAGGTGGTTTGGACATGTGAAACAAAGACCTACAAACGCTCCGGTTAGAAGATGTGATTACAAGATAAAGGCTCAAGCCAAAGGGGTAAAAGAAGACCTAGGAAGACTTGGAAAGAGACTCTAAGAAAAGACTTGGACTACCTGGTTCTAACGGAAGACGTGACGGGCGCAAGGCCTTCTAGGATTCATATAGCCGACTCCACTTAGTGGGATAAGATTTTGTTGTTGTTGTTGTATGCATGCGGAGGGATGATTTGGGGATTATGATGGAAGTGAGAATAATCAGGGACAAACCTGGAATGAAGTCAAATGATGTGTACACAGTATGGTGGGCTTGCCTCAAAATAGTGATATGTGATTTCTGGATATGCATGCATTGCTTAAAATGCACTGTGATCTATAGGAATGGTGCCAGTAGTTCAGATACAAGTGAGCAAAGTGACTGAGAGAAGCAGGTGGATTAGGGTGAAGTCAGTGGAATTATGCAGATGCACAGGGACTCTTCAGGTTTAGGGGTGGTTGATCTCTTGAGGTCCAAGGTGTGTCTCTGGAGTTACTAAGTTGTTGGGTGAAGCAATTTGAAGTTGCGAGTCACCGAAACCCATTTGTTTTCTGCTTGGACTCTTTGAAAAATTTATGAATGAAATAACTGAAAACCACATGCAAGAGTTGATCAAATTTTTACTGATGGATGCATTCACTTATGTCCAATTTAAATAGCTTATGTCACTTATGTCCCAATTTAAATAGCTTATGTGTGTGTAAAGTGTAAACTTTTATTTATGTCTTAGTTCAAACTTTAAATAGCTAACTTGTATTAGTGTTCCTCGAATAAGTTCTTGCATGGTTCTTTCATTAGATTACCTGCATGATTTTGGACATTTGAGTTATCTTTTCTCAGGACACTAATTTTAAAGAATGGAGGCTAGTGGTGCAAGAAATTGCTCGATTTATGAAAGTTGATACGGCCTTTATGAATGTCAGGCCATTGCGATACTCTACCTTGTTTGATTCGCATCCAGCATCTCTTCCGTATGTTGCTCGTTTCCATGCAAAGAGAGTCTTAAAATTTCAAGATGCATTGTTAACAAGCTATCACCATAATGAGGTAAAAATAAAAGGATGATTGTTTATATCTTTAATCATTGATTTTAATTCATTTCAGAATTGATTATAATATACAGCCGTCACAAAGGAAAAAGTATGTGAATGTCCATGCATTTTGACTTGCAGGTCAAATTTGCTGAACTTACATTGGACACCTACCGAATGCTGCAATGTTTGGAATGGGAGCCAAGCGGGTCTTTCTACCAAAAGCGTCCGGTTGAACCAAAGGAGAATGGTGTTTTTATTGAACACTCTGGGGCTTCTGCGGCATCTGGAGTAATTGATATGAACTTGGCTGCGGACATGACTGATCCAAGTTTACCCCTAAATCCAAGGAAAGCTGTTATCTATCGTCCATCTGTGACACATTTGATAGCGGTTAGTGCTAAAGAAATTTATTGTCATGTTTGTTATTTGAGGGCTATGTCTCTGGAACTGTAGGGATCTGCTTAGAGCCTTGAAACTCATGTTCTGTGATGCGTGAAATATGCACATTCAAAATGACAAAAAAGTTACAAAACTACAAACAGAAATGGAAAAATCGAAAATATAGGACACAAGAAAAAAAAAATGTAATTCTGTATTTTTATTCTATTTGGCACATTAATTGATTTACAAAAGGTATGGCTGATTTAAGGTATATTAATAAAATTTTGGTCAAAGTCTCACGTCTATTTTGGTTTGAAAACAAAAATATTGAAAAACTAGTTGCATGTATTTTAACCTTTGCTTTGTTATCATTAATTCTGTGGTAAAGGAAGAAACACTAGAGTGTGAGCCTTCATGTCTTACTAGTCCGTACTTTGTTAGTTGAAATGCCAATTTATGCCCTGGCCCCTTGGTTTCCATTTCATTGGTATGATGAGGGTTTTGGTTGATGAAAAGTATATTTTTACGAAAAACAGGAAGAATCTTTTTATTATTTTTTCTGTAATACAAAAATGAGCCCAAGTCTTCACATTTTTTTTTCTTTTCATTTTGAAATTGGCCCATTGTGTTGGAGTTCATCCTGGATGTGTCCACCCTTTCTTTTTGCAGGTTAAATATAGGGATGCATCCCATGTATTCACATGTTTTGAACACACAATGTCATGTCATATTTGTTTAGTCAGCTTTATCATGCGGGGTTCTTTAAACCTTTGTTTGAAAAATGGCATTGCCAATTGCACTGTTCGTACATGTACCTGCAATAAAAGTAATGGTGTAATGTTTTAATGCAACCACGTAGTGTGGGACCATTAAATATTGGTTGCTTCTTTGCCAGTGAAAATTTTCAATCTATCATATACATATATATTTTCTTTTTTCAATGTTTAGTTGCCAATGCTGAGATGTTATTGATGCATCGGCAGGTGATGGCTACAATATGTGAGGAGCTTCCTCTGGACAGTATTATGCTAGTTTATCTGTCAGCCTCAGGTTAAATTTGGTTTTGTCAGATAAATATCAACTCATCAATCTTCGTGTCTTGTCATCCCAAATTAGTAAACTTGATGATCAATTGTGCAGGGAAGGTTGGTCGTAGTAATGCTAGTCAGGTGTATAGCGCTGGAGGATCACAGAAGTCCTCAAAAAACAAAGCTCCTCTCCAAGATCAGAATAAGTTTCTGCCTGAATCATGTATAAATAACAAGGGAGAGTTAAGTGGCTATTATGATCAATATCTGTGGTTTGGTCCTAGAGGAAATGGTGGTAGGTTCCTGTAATGCATCCATATGCTGCCTTGTTTTATTATGGCTACTTTTGTGCGCAGTAAACTGTTTAAGTCATTCATTTATTTGTTGTCTTCCCTATATTATTGTTCCACTCTTATATTAGTCTTACATTTTTTTTATTTTCAGGTTTGAACAACCTTTACCCTGGTGATATAATTCCTTTTACTCGTAGGCCTCTTTTCTTGGTAATAGATAGCGACAACAGCCATGCATTCAAGGCAGGTTTGTCAAAACTTGTGCATTAATTCTGTGGTTGCATGTTTTTACAGTGGAGTGTAGTTACAAATCAGATTTTCTTCCTTTATCCCAAAATGTTTTTGGACATTTTATGGTTATTGTTTTGATTTCATTTTATTGGGTCCACATTTCTTTGTTCTTGGAGTAAGTTTTGAAATGTTGAGAGTAACTTATTAAGTTACTGGAACTAGCAATGTTTTACTCGGTAATTGTTATTGGAAACGCGTACATCCCTAACAACCTTGAAGCCCTTCTGGCTCAAATATGTTTTGGCATCTAACTTCAAAGGAGTGTCAATGGCTAGCGAATCTTTCTAGTGTTGCACTTGTGGAAAAGTCTTCTGATATATTGGCCCTCCCATTCCCTCCCCAAATGCCAACTTCTGTTCATGGTTCTTGGTCATTTTGATGGGATTGGAGAAGGTTTCTCTCCATCTTATGGTCTTTGTTGATTACCTGATGTTTGAGACGGTGGATTGAGTTGATCTGCATCTGAGCGGTGTTTGTCAGGGAAAATACTTACATTCTGCTGATGAATGAGTTCAGGCTTTACATGGAGTGGAAAGAGGAGAGACGGCTGCTCTGCTTCTTTCACCTTTGAGACCAGCGTTCAAGAATCCAGCTGATGCTGATTTAACGCAAAATGGAAGTCAGTTTACCTTTTTCTTGACTGCTCCCTTGGCAGCATTCTGCCAATTAGTTGGATTCTCCTCTTCTGATACCGAAGCAGTAAGTTAATTGCAAGGACTGCAGTACTTGCTGACTGTCCATTTTATTTTAGTTGTTCCAATTGATTTATTCTGCTTTCAGGAGGTTTATAGCAATGCTGAAAGCATACTCTCGGCTGCCTTCTCTGAGTGGGAAGTTATTCTTTGTACGACAAGAAGCCTGGATCTGGTATGGGCACAAGTTCTATCCGATCCTTTTTTGCGGCGACTTATTCTGAGGTACGCATCTTCCCCAGTCTGCCAAGGAATATAAGGCAACAAATATCTGGTTCTGTAATTTGTTATGTTTAGCATTATCGCTATCTTACTGCATTTGCCTTAATGATGGGAAACGAGAGATGATAGCAATTGTCTTGGTGTTCTGTTGTTTTAATTATTTTGTTTAAAAGTCAAAAAAGCGGAAATGCTTACATAATGCTCCTACTTCCAGATTTATATTCTGCAGAGCTGTGCTTTCTTTCTTCTGCCCTCCTGAAGATAGTGAGCAGCATTTGCCGGTTTGCCTACCTATTCTTCCCAATCCCGTTTCTCCAGATTCTGAAGTTGTGCGGTCTGCTGTCCACAGGCTTGCAAAGCACCTCAGCGTCTCTGACTATTTTCACTTTGTTGACACATGATTATCTAATTAGATAGTAAAGCTAGATTGTAAGTATAGCACTCTGGGGTTAAGGTCTCCTCGATCCGGTGTGACCATGGCACAGATAAATCAGTTGGCTTACTAGGGGCGGGGTTGAGAAGATACTAATCGGCTCATATGTAATGGGTGGTGTTATTGTGTTTAGGTTGGTGTCTGATCCTTGTAGGGTGTGAACTTTTCCAGGTGAATCTTCAAATTACATATAGTTGTCAATACCTTTGTAAAGAAAATCAGCTGGTGAAACAAATTTTAAATTATTTTAACCTCTCGTGACGGCAATTTTTACGGTCTTGTTGAAGCTTATGGTTCTCAGAGGAATTTTTGAATGGCCTCTGCTACTGCTACTTCACAATGTGATTTGAGTTTTTTGGCTTGTATTTTGTATTTTGTAATTTGTATAAACACCTTCATTTTTATTCATTTATTTGGTGAGTGTATTTGAGGGAGTTAGAAAGGGAAAGTCTGGTATGATACATTTGATAGAGATTGCTCCATAATAATGTACTAATAATACCGTATTTTGCACAACTTTGTTGGCTGGATTTTTCGTACACTTATTTTTACCCTTCACATGCTCTTATTATTTTTTTGCTATTGGTCTTCTTCATTTTATTTAATCCAACAATCGAAAATTGAAAGGGGTGTGTGAAAAGTAAACTTCTCATACCTAACCCTCCCTCAAAGAGCAAGTGGCTAAGAGCAAAGAGCTAACTGCTAACAGCTAGTAGCAGGACTAAGCAAGGGCAGATCCACATAGGGACCTAGGAAGTCTAAGGACCAGTCGACAATCCTAATTCTCCGCTATAAATTTTCTGGAGACCCCTCACACTCGAGTATGAGGTCGTTGTAGGTTGTAGGTTGCATTGGCTGTCTTCTTCTTGGAGAAGATGACCGCGCACGGAGAAGAAAGAAAATAGGGACCATTCCTGCCTTTTTACTCCTTGCTTCTGTCATGGTCTCATTCGTTGGTGCCACCCACTTCTCCTCCAACCTTTCTTTGTCATCTGGCGGGGGCAGTACAGAAGACCAAATTTCCCCAAATTATTTCAACCATCTTAGTAATTTTTTTTATGGGTGAAATTTCCTTCATAAGGTTAGTAAGATGGATATGATCTATCATGGGTTGGTGAAATTTGGGGGTGGAGCTGCCATGACTTCGGGAGAATGGGGAGGGAGGCAGTTGGTGGAGGTATGGCAACTTTGTTCTTAGTGAGATAGAAGGTGGATGTTTGGATAATAGTAAAAGAGAAAAATGGTGTGTTTGGTTAGAAAGATAGTGGGAGTTTGGGGAAAGTTTTATTTGACCAGTGTTTTAAATTTAGTGGTTCATATTAGATAATCAATAACTTAGGTACTCCCTAGTAACTTATGAAACCTCGTAATGGACGCTTGAATTATGATTTTATAATTTGTAATATTGTTTTGTATATGATTTTTGAATGAAATGTATTATATTTAAATTTTCAATGTTATTTTTGTCTATAAATTTTTTGACCTTTATAATTGGGACCTCCCGCGTTTAAAATCCTGGATTCTTCACTAGGACTAAGATAGCAGATAATAAAGAATGAGTATGTGGATAACATTATCTTTTTTCTTTCATAGTACGTAGTACGTACTGCTAAGAAAAATCACGGTTATATATACATATATATATATTATTTTTTTAAATATACGATATTATTAATTTTTTAGGGTAAGAGAGTGGACCCAGCCTCACAAGGGTCTTAGCTATAAGAGCATTTCTAGTGGGGCTCTATATGGGACTAGAAAAGTGATGGATATAGCTCATTTTAGAGCTCCGAGAAATCTTTGAGGTTTTATAAAAGAATTTCTCCTAATAAGGGGCTATTTCTTTCGGGCTCTATATATTTATTTATGTAGATTTGATCATGCGAAAATATATTTTTTTTGTGTGAACTTTTTTTAAGTTGATTTTTGAACGTGTTATTTTAAATTTTTTTTTTTTTTTATGAATCTTTCAACCTAAAAAAGTTTAAACTCTGACAAAGTTAGATTTCATCACTTATGAACCGTTTGTTGATTAAATTCTCTTATCTCAATTTCATTTGTTGAAACAAACTCCTACTTCGCCTTCTAAAATAATTTGATTTTCATGTACAACACAACAATTTACCTAGCACCAATTGGTAAATTAGTATCACATAATTTTGAAAAACATATTCGAAAATTTCACCCACCAATGCCCATGAAATCAATTTGAAATTTAATTCTTATAGAATTTAAAACAATCATTAATTAGCCAAATTGCAATAAATTACAAACAAACACAACCAAATGTTTCATCACATAATAAGGGGCATTTTAGGACTATAAAATTTTGTAATCTGACTCATAAAGCAAATTTAATAAATTTTTATTTTTTTTGTTAAAACCCAATAAACGGGTTATTTCATGAAAAGACATATATGATGTGTTAAGGGGGAAATCCAAATTTTTAGATTAATAAAAGTGAACCTTTTTAGTAAAACAGTTTATATCATTTTATGTGTTAAGCATTAAACATACAAATAAAATGTAGGAGGATTTTTGGAACAAAAATGTGTAAGAAAAAAGAATAAAATGAGAGTATAAGTATTTGCAAGTAGGGAGAGTGTGATAGAATTTGGCTCACATGAATTGCTACTTTTCTCGTGAGACGCACTGTTTTTTGGGCCAGATGTAGACTAATTTTATGCTATCCAAAAAAGGAAGTTGCTAGCCCAAGTGGTGGATTTAACCGCATTTTCTGGCTTATTGGGGATGAAAATTTTTCACTAAGGTTTAAAATGTAGTAGCCTCATGGAAGAAAAAGCCCCCATTGGGGATGCCTCTAATAATTTGGTTCATATTTATTTTTGACGACAATCAAACCAAAGATCTCTCACTTACAAACAGTGTTTAAAATATCGGTATTCGTGGAAATATCAAAATGCAAATTTATGGAAATATCAACGGATATATTGAATAAGAATATCGAAATCGGTTGTTTTCAATGAAAATGATGGAAATTTAAAATGAGATTTTGGGGATTGTCAAACATTGGTTAAACGAAAAAGAGAGGATCCTCCTTGTGAGAATCCCAAGATCCTCCAATTACATTCGTTGATCGTACATCGTGCGACTAATTTTTGTCAGGTACTGTTTATATTCAATTTTAAATAAAAAATTACAATGATTTCTAACCACACGATGTATGATAAATGAATGTGAATGGAGGATCCTCACAAAGAGGATCCGGCGAGGATCCTCCTGGTGAACGAAATAGAAAAGTTTCTACGATATTTAACATATGTAACAGAAATATCGACGATGTTTGTCAATTTTAGCCTAAACTTAGGAATTTCTCCGAAATGAGGTGAAGATTAAACTTCACCCCACATTTCTATATATTTCTTTTATTTTTTTGGATATTTTCATGGAAATATCAACAGTATTGAAGAAATTTTAAACACTGCTTGCAAATGAAAATGAATGCTACTAGACCGCAATATTAAGGCCATCTTCAATCGAGATGACTAAATATAGCCCCGTCCAGAATTATAGCTATGCTCAAAATTATTTTAAATGAATAGTGTCAAGCCATACTCATATGCCTTTTCCAACCAAAAGAGCTAAATGTAGCCCACTCAATAATTTATTAGTTTTAAGTTTATACTTTAAATTTATTGGTTAATTTAATTAAACTACATTTGGATGTTTTCAATTCCAATTGTTGAAGTTGAATAAACTATTGTATTTGAGGAGCTGTGTCCCAAAAAGGGCTAAGAGTAAGACTACATTTGGCTAGCCTAATGACCCCTTGACCAAATAATGGTGACTCTACAAAATTATAGTTTAGTCATCGGTTGAAGATGAGTTTTTGATCAAATCAAACCATTTTTTGGCTTTTGGACCTTTAGAATGGTTGGATCTTTCATACAATGTGTACTGCTGAGTGAGATGCAGTATTGTAGTTGAATCCTAAACTAAATCACAAAAGGTCAGTTTGTTGTTTCCTAGCTTTCCAATTTAACAATTACTTATGAATTTAGGGGGCGTTTGTTGCACCGGACTATCTCGGACTAGACTAACTTCAGGGACTAAGCTGGACTGGCTTAGAATAGACTAAGTTTGATTGACTCAGTGAAGCGTTTGGTGCAGTGTCGGACTAAGAAGCAAAACTCTAGTATTATATTATATAATCTATTATCTTTTAATATTTTATTATTAATTTAATTAAATACTAATATTTTATAATATTCTACCTTTTTTCTTCTTTTTGGAATCATCTTCTTCAACTCTTTTTTCTTTGTTCGAGATCTTCTCTCTGTCTAAACCTCTCTTTTTCTCCACCCATTGTTTACCTCCTTTCTCTGTACCTCTATCTTCTCCCATCTCCCTTTTTTCTTCCGATCCACCTCAAATAACTTTGGCCTCCTTCTTATTTTTCAAAGTTTGAAACTTTGTATTTATTTTGTTTTGCCTCAAAGAAAACGGCATGGCGCAGGTGCTGGAGCTGCGGGTAACGGAACGAGTTGAAATTTCAGAGTTCATTCTAAGATCCTTGCGGTGATTATGAGGCGTTGGAATTGAGGGCTCGAGGACTATTTGGGAAAGGGTAGAGAAATGCTTAGGCTTAAAGCTGTGGTGTGGGGGATTATGCTGTTTAGAGCTTATGCCATGTGAATTGTTTCTTTCGGATATATGGGGTGGGCTGTGGTGATCGTCCGTTTCTTTGCTTTTATTCCTCAGCTGCGGGACTGAGGTGGGAAAGGAAAACGATGCAGTTTGTGCCCAGGTTATTCATTTCTCTGTTTTCTAGGTCGGAGGGCGCGACCAATGAGCTTAGTTTGAGCGGAGGTGAATCGGACGATGGAACTCGTGAGTTCTCCGATTGAAGTTTGAATCAAGGTCTTTGTGGGGACGAGGAGATGTAGAGAACGCGAGCAGAGAGGAGAGTAGAGGATGCGAGTAGAGAGCGATCGAATGGATTAGCTAGTCCCATGAATTAGGGGGTCTTTTAATATATATTGATAATAGATTAATCTATATATATAAAGGGAGAGCCCCAGTTTGGTGAAGCTTTCCAAAATGCCAAAAATGGCCATTTCTTTCCTTCACAATCAAAGTCCAAAAAATTCAAAAAATAAGGACAAACTGGTAAAATATCATAACTAAAAAAAAAGCTATATTGGAAATCTAAATAAATAAATAAAAAAAGAAAATGGAATTTAAAACCAATTTGGATCACATCCTGTGTGAAGAAACACTTACAGATAGAAAGACGGAAACCATCTTTCGCACGATCAAAGCAGCAACTGCAGCGGTTGACAGACCCGACATGGAACCGCCATTTATTGCACGTTCTCCATCTCTCAGGTATTTCTCTTTATTTTCTTCACTTCTCTTGCTCTTTTTTGTGTTGATTTCTTTCTCCATCAAGTCCCCACTTTCAGGAGTCCAGTCTCCTGGCCGCTGCTGCTCTCTCTCCCGATCATAACATTTAAGTAAGTTTTCCATTTTGTGCAAATCCCTAACCCCAACTTTCCGCCCTATTTAGCTATTGATTTCAACTTTTCATTCAACAAAATGCATGCTTTTAGGGTTTCTCAACCTTAATTTAATTATTCTTCATCCAATTTCCACCAATTCATATCACTAATTAGGTCCATCTCTAATTCATTTGCTGGGAAAGGACAATGGAATACCCCGAGTGTTTAGTTGGGGTTTCGATTTGATTACAATTGGTTTTAATTTTGTCTCTGCTGCATTCACCATTGCTAAACCTGGGTTCTGTGCTTTGCATGCAAGGGGCTTTTCAAAATCAGGTACACCACCTTTTGAATTATGTATTAATTTTGTTTGTTGCATTGATTTCAAATGAAATTTTGATTCAGACAAATTATAGCATGTTTATAAGGCTTTTCCTCAACTGGGTTCTCTGATTTCTTTCTTTCGTTTAAAGATTCGGTTGAATTGGCTAAAAAAACAATGTGGGTGTTCAAGGTTCTGTTCGGAATCATTGTTGAGTTTCTGAACTTTCATCCATGGTTTCTTATTTTCTCAATTGGGATTATTTCTTACGAATTTCCTTTGAGATTGGCGTGTTTGTTTGTTAATGCTCTGTTTCTTCGTTTTTTACAGGGAATGAAACTGCTCTCTTCCTCTTCTTGACACCCACGTTGATTACACTGATCTTCAAGAGTTAAAGGAGATGTCTCATTTACATTCAGTCCCTCATCAATATTTTTTTTTTGCCATCCCTTTTGCAAATTTATTTTTGTAGATTTTTATTTCAATGGATTTTTTTTTTTTTGGCTTTAGGGAATTTTTGTTTATAATAATCCATTTTTCGATTAATCGTGCTTTTTCCATTAGGTTTTCAAATTATCTGTATTCGGTGTTGGCAGTGGAGATAAATGCGATCTGGTGTTGTGTGGGCGAGACATTGTAGGGTTAGTGGTTTGAAAATTCTCCGATTCTTTCTTCATTAGTCTATGTATTTTATTGATTTTTGTCCTACCAAGACTTTCTACTGTTTTGACTTATTTGAATTTCATTATCTGAACTCTGTTCTCTGAATTTGGTTACCTAAATCGTGCCTGGTATTTGATGTGGCCGGTGGCTTTGTATGGCTAGCTGGTGTTATTTGGGTTTAATTTTAGTTATAATGGGAGACAGGGCACATTAGTTATATCTGTGCTCATTAATTGATTAGGATTAGTATATTAGTCTTTGCTAATTTATGCATTTTTATTCTTTGTACTATTATAATCGTCCTTACGTATGTTGGGACTAAATTGAATAATAATGCTTCCTTTTCTACTCAGTGAAAACACATACCAAATCAACAAAGCTATGGTGGTGGGAATAATCATTCTCAGGTATGTATGATATGAATGTGTGATATGAATTAGTTTGCCAAAGTTCATTGTAAGTAGATCGTACATATTTGATTCTCTGGGATATTGTAACTGTATTTCGGTTCATACTGGGGAATAGATTGCTTCTAATTAGAGTCTTTATGATGCTCACTATCAGTTCTCGCATGTATTGGGCAATGCAGTTTTGTTGGTTCATGTTAGGGAATAGGTTGCTTTTACTTTAAGCCTTTCTGATGGTCGCTATTAGTTCTCGCACATATGGGCAACGAAGTTTTGTTGTTTATCAGTTGTAGCAACATACTAAGTCATGATTGTTGCAACTGCAGTAAAGCGGCAATGGAGACCCGGCATCAGCATTTTCAAGTCGATCTGGGTAATCTCATAGCCTTCGACCCTCATCACAGATTCCCCTCCATCCCCTTCTCCAAATTATTTTTCTTTACTTATTCAATATCTCTATTTTTTGGTAATATTTTGTATACTTCTGGGCTTTTTGAAATTATTGCTCTTGAGAAATTAATTGAAAATTTACTTTTGGAAATTGGGATTTTATTTGGATTAATCCCATCAGTAAAGTGGCAGTCATAAGTGAAATAATGAATTTATCACACTATGCTGATGGGTTTTTGTTCAGTGGGTGAAATTCTGATTTGTTTTTTTCATGGTATTTAGGGAGGAATTAGTGAAGGAATGTATAAAGAGAGGGACCGAGTTGGTTTAAGCTATTGCGAATAGTCTTTTCAACTCACATTCAACTGAAGGCATAGACGGTCCCATTGTGCACATGTTCGCTTCCTGAAACTAAGCTGCCAAGATAGAAAGCATGTGAGTCATTCATCTTATGATTCTCCAACGATTTTATTTTAGTTTTTATTTTTTATTTTTATTTTTTAGGTTTGATCATGTATATGATTTTGATGTGCAACGTAATATTTGGGTTTTGATGTGCAACGTAATATTTGTTACAGATAGTTCGATCAAAGAACAATATCATTGAATTTCACACACTTAAGAAAAACCCACTCACGTGCAATGAAGGGGTAACCATGTCAACGACTTCAGATCAAACATATGCAAATCGTTCAATTTCCTCCTTTTAGCATCTTCACCTCCAAATAGGATTAATGTAGAGCTTGCCCTGACTACAGTGTGACCAGTGCGAGCAACCTGCCATGCGTGAGATATGTGGGTGGGTTAAATTATCACTCCATTTAACTATCATTAGTTGAGTAATTCACAATTCCTCCAGCTCACTTCAACAATATATATGATTTTGGATTCGTGTTGGTGTAGCTAGGGACAATTATATATGTGGATGGATGTTGGGTTGGAAGGTCTACTCATAAAGAAGAACAAATCTAAGGGTAGAGTGAAACTGAAAAGCAGCCAAACTTAAATTGCAATTTGCCAAAGAGCACGATTGGCCCTTTGTTTTAAAATTTTCATACTTCTCATTCTTATGTACCCTTATGTATCGGTAACATGTATTCAACTTTAAAACTTTATCCGAAACCATTTGGTGGGTGTTTGGAATTTTGGAATTAGATTTTCAATTTGGTTTGTGAATTGCTAACTTTATCAACTCCTCTTGCTTAACCTCAATTATTTCAATTGGCATTGGTTGCAGACCCATTTGTTGAGGCTCGAAGAAAAAGGAAGTGGGGAAAGTGTATTCTTGCCATAGATTTTCTGTTGGGAGTGAGCATTGAAGAAAAGGGAAGGTGATAACAGCGGAAGAGGTGGCTTTTTGCTTTTGGCCTTTTGTTTTCTTCATTTTGCTTAATGTTGAGACTTGAGAAAAGAACTTCTAATGTTGAACCCCAATTCGAGAAGATAATGTGAAGAAAACAAATATTCGTAATTGTTATTATGTCCAAGATCAAACCAATTATGAACAATTGCTGTCCTCTAACAAAAAAAAATTTGACCGATGTTTAGTTATTCATAATCTTCTTCGTAATCTCAAATATCCATGTAGTCCAAAATCATCCCTAAACACCAGCGGGGTTCGAGAAGGATTTTGAATATCATAACAGTTATTCATAATTATGATTTTGTTAAGGAACCTTGCGTACATGCATTGTTTTTATTTTATTTTTTTTTTTTTTTTTTATCCATTTGAACCAAATCATCCCATCCCCATTTGCACCCCAACGACCAACAAAGCACCCCAAAATTTCTTAAGTTGTGTTGATCACAAATTATTGAAGATCATATCCTTAAACTAATGAACCAAAATTACTAATAAACATAATACCTAAGAAACCAAAATTACTAAAATTTTAAGGATATCATAACATTTTAGAGCTTATATGTGCATTGTTGAGTTATTAGAGCAAACTAATAAATATAATGAACCTACATTGAATACAAATTCTTCTTTGTCATGTGGTAGTTTTTTAGCCTTTTATTACGGGTTACACATTTCTAAAAACTTTTTATATTATGTCCAGCCCACATCCGTCATTTATGATAGGGTTTAGGGGTATTAAAAAAGTTTAAAATTCTACTCATCCAGTTGACATAAAAATTAAAACTCTATAAACAATGCTAATTTATAAAAGAAAAAAACATGAAAGGTAAATCATATCCAAGTCCTAACACCAACCGAGAAGTGTATATAAGCCCGTCATTTCCTTGCACTAATACTTATTACACTTCAAAAGTATTTTGTGATCATTTTATTTTGTTCTTTTGTATTATATTGATGTGTAGATAAATGTTTTTTCTTCTTCTGTTCATAGACATCTACGTAGACTTTTTCGTATTTATGGAATGTCACAGAATTTGTATTCAATTTAGGTTCATTTATTTTTTAATTTTTTAGATAAATTTTTCCATGGAGCGTGGCCAAAGTCGTGCAAGACAATGGCGTCAATCATTGAGTCCTGAAGAACATCAAAGATATCTAGCTCGACGACGTCTAATAGCACAAGAAAAAAGACAACAAATTCCAACTCTATATGATGATCATACTATGACATCCCCCAGTAACATACAACAAGAAATTCCTGATATTTATTTCATATTCCTTTTTCTTTAACTCATACTAATGCCAAAAAAAAAAAAAAAAAAAATCTAATTTCTAATTTTTCTTTTAACTATGCAACAAGTAGGTCCCAATAATATACAAGAACGGGTTCAGTTCGCTAACTATGATGTTGAGGTCGACCCCAGTAATATAGAACAACAAATTCCTGGTATTTATTTCAATTTCTTTATTTGTATTTGCTTCACACTTAAAAAATTAGGTTATTTTTTAAGAACAAAATTTAGTGAATTGAAATCTCATTGTATTCTTTTCTTTGATACTTTCATATTGATCTCAATGTTGTAGTTATTTTTAGTGGTAGTCTTACGAAATATTAGACTCACAACTAAATATATTAAATATTAAAGACAAAATTTTTAACTAATCGTATTATAATGTGGTCTATTTATTAGAACAAATTGAGCATGAAAGCGCGAATTCAAGGGTTTTGTCAGATATCACAAATCATGATGACCAAACTTTTACTAGAATGCGTACTCATATGGGACAGTTGGCACATTCAAATAGGTCACAAATATCTTATGGGATGCTCTCAATTCCTCCCCACAATGGTGAGCTTAGTATTAATTTTATCTTTATATAGATATGTGATTAGTTACAAAGAAAATTCTTATACTGAATGTTGGATATTCATGTAAAAATATCAGAAGAAGAACATGCAAATAGAACCAATTGTCATGTGCGCCAAACCAGAGGAAGAAGAAACCACAATTGTGCTAGAAATTATAATGAGAATCGGGGTATCCTAGGTTGCCAATTATCTGCTCCAACCACATGTCCGTACTGCTATGCACGATTGTTTGCTCGAGAAACTTTGAATATGTGTTGCTTGAAAGGAAGAATTGTTTTACCCCCAATACAATCCCCACCAGAAATGGTTGCTCTTTTCTCTGACCAAACAAATGAGGGTAGACACTTCAGGCAAAATATTCGAGCTTACAATCATGCATTTGCATTCACTTCAATGGGAGTACACGTGGATGAAAGAATTAATATTGGTGGTCGTGGGATTTACACATTTCGTGCTCAAGGTGCATTATATCATAAGATTGGTGGACTTTTACCAAATGAAGGGAACAGACCGCGATTTTTACAAGCTTATATATATGACACTGAGCATGAAGTTGAAAACCGAATGTGTGAAAGTGAAGTTTTAGATAGACGTGTGGTTGAAAAGATACAACATATGTTGAACAACCATAATCCTTTTGTTCATACATTGCGAAGCCTTGGACAACGCCAAGATTTGCCGAATTGCAAGTTGATCCTAAAAGAGCAACCAATAGATCGGCGTCAGTATAGTCTACCATCAGCATCACAAGTTGCGGCAATTATAATAGATGGAGATAATGCCACAATTGCAAATGGAAGGGATATCGTGGTGGAGACAATTAGTGGAAGACTTTCTCACGTCCGAGACTATGTTGGATTTTATGATCCCTTACAATATCCACTATTGCTGCCTTACGGTACATATGGATGGGATGTTAACAGTCGTGATGATGGTGGAAGAGCAATAACATGTTGCGACTATTATGCTTATATGTTACAGGTTTGTACTGATAACATAATTTACTTCCCGGTATATATAGATGAATGATGATTCCTATATTAAAAGCAATATATGAAATTTGCTTTTGTAGATACGCCATAATGGATCATCACTTTTGCTTCGAGGTGGACGTCTCTTGCAACAATATGTTGTAGATAACTACATTAAAATTGAATCACAAAAACTTAGATGGTTGCGTTCTAATCAAGCCACAGTTAGAGCGGATCTCTACAAAGGACTTGAAGACTCTCTAAATGCAGGTCAACACAATGCAGGTATATATATCGTTTCAGTCATCGTTATTTAGAAATATAACTTTGTTTAAAGTGTGTACAATATATATAGCTAATTGAAAATAAAATATTATTAGGTAGCATCGGGCGTAGAATTATTTTACCATCATCATTTGTTGGAAGCCCACGTGACATGTACCAACGATATCAAGACGCAATGACTTTGGTTCAAAGATTCGGAAAGCCAGATCTTTTTATTACCATGACATGTAACCCAAGTTGGGAAGAAATCAAAAGCGAATTACTCGCTGGACAAGCTCCACAAGATCGCCCTGACTTACTCACTAGAGTATTTCGTGCAAAACTTGAGCAACTAAAAGAAGACATCATTGAAAAGGGGGTATTGGGCAGTGTTGTTGCTTACGCATATGTTATTGAGTTTCAGAAACGTGGTCTTCCACATGTGCATATGCTGGTTGTGTTAGATGAAAATGATAAGATCAATAACCCAGATGAGTATGACCGAATTGTTAGAGCTGAAATACCAAATGAAGATGTAGAGCCTCAACTTTATAATGTGGTGTTAAAGCATATGATTCATGGCCCATGTGGGATTCATAATCCTCTATCTCCATGTATGAAAAATGGGAGTTGTAAGAGAAAGTTTCCCAAACCATTTGCACCAGTCACCGTTCAAGGGAATGATTCGTATCCAATTTATCAAAGGCGAGGAAATCGATTGCCCGTCTCACTTAATCGACAAGGAAACATAATGGTTGATAATAGTTGGGTCATTCCATATAATCCATGGTTGCTGTTAAGGTATGATTGTCACATCAATGTCGAAATTTGCGCAAGCATAAAAAGTGTCAAGTACTTATATAAGTATGTTTACAAAGGCCCAGACAGAGTGACAGTTGAAGTGCAATCAGACCCTCAATACGATGAAATAAAGCAGTTTCAGGATGCAAGATGGGTTTGCGCACCAGAGGCATTATGGAAAATATTCAAGTTCATTATTAATCGAATTTATCCATCTGTTGAGCGAATGCAAATACATCTTCCTAATATGCACCAAGTTCAGTTTCGTGCCGATGAAAGCATAACAAATATTCTACATGATGAGAGTACAAGAAAGACAATGTTGACTGAATTTTTTACACTTAATCATGTGGATGCAGAAGCGCGGCATTATTTATACATGGAGATACCATCACATTACAGATGGATTCAAGCTCAAAGAAAGTGGTCTAAAAGAAAGAATCGTAACAAGGTTATTGGGCGAATATATGCAGTTTCACCTGCTGAAGGCGAAAAATTTTACCTTCGGATTCTTCTTAATCATGTTAGAGGACCAACATCCTTCACAAACTTGAGAACAGTTAATGGGGTTTTGCATCCAACATTTAAGCAGGCAGCAGAACAACGAGGTTTGTTAGAAAGAGATGACAGTATTCGACAATGTTTGTTAGAGGCCTCCACAATTCAGATGCCGTCGGCTTTAAGAAGATTATTCGTCACCATATTGGTATATTGTGCACCAATTGGTGTTCGAGGGTTATGGGATGAGTTCTGTCCATTCATGATGGAAGATTATGTTTCCATGACTAACATAACTCCCACACTTGCTACCAACATACTCTTGCGTGAGTTGAACATACTTTTGGTTCAATTTAACAAGAGTATAAACGAGTTTGATTTGCCCCAAATGACAAGAGGAAATGAATCAAGTTCAGGAATGACCGGATGTATTGAAGATGAAATATCCATATGTATTCCACAACAAGATCTTGATGCAATTGAACGCTTAAATGATGACCAAAAAAGTGCGTTTAACATAATAATGGGTGCAGTTCAACGATCGGATAATGCAACTTTTTTTGTGGATGGTCCCGGTGGAACTGGAAAAACTTACTTATATCGCGCATTGTTAGCAAGCTTGAGAAGGTTGGGGCACATAGTATTAGCAACAGCATCATCTGGAATAGCAGCTACGATATTGCCTGGTGGGAGGACAGCACATTCTAAATTCAAGATACCACTTAGTCTCGATGCATCATCGATGTGTTCGATCGGTAAACAATCTGATTTAGCAAAGCTAATACAAAAGGCAAAGGCAATTATTTGGGATGAAGCAACAATGACGCATCGTCATGCATTTGAAGCACTCGATCGAACGTTCAGAGACTTAACAGATATTGACTTACCATTTGGGGGGAAGATAATGATATTTGGGGGAGATTTTCGACAAGTTCTTCCTGTTATCCGGAAAGGAACCAAGTCCGAACTAATCCAAGCAAGTGTTGTTAAGGCATCATTTTGGTCACAAGTAAAGATTTTAAAACTCAAACAAAACATGAGATCCATAAATGATTGTGAATTTTCAGAATTTTTACTTCGTGTTGGTGATGAGAATGAAGATGTTATTATGGATGATATGGTAAAACTACCTGAATGCATAGTGATACCATGGGAGAGTGAGCATTCCATTAATCAATTAATTGCCAAAATCTTCCCTGACTTAGAGGATCATATAAATGATGCAACCTACATGGTGGAAAGGGCAGTGGTAACTCCTACAAATGAAGACGTTGATATGTTGAATGAAAAGATAATCAATATGTTTCCGAGTTTAGAAGAGACAATGTATTCATTTGATTCAGTTGAGGATGACGTAAGGAATTTGTATCAGCCAGAGTTCTTGAATTCAATCTCACTTGGTGGTTTGCCTCCGCACAAGTTAACTTTGAAAAGAGGTGCTCCAATCATGCTTTTAAGAAATATTGATCCGAAATTGGGATTGTGTAATGGTACAAGATTATTGTGTCGTGGTTCTTACCGAAATCTTATTGATGCTGAAATTCTAACTGGACAATTTGCCGGATCCAGAGTTTTCTTACCAAGAATCCCTCTCAAAAGTACTGATACTGCTGGGCTTCCATTTGAACTTACAAGAAAGCAATTTCCAGTGAAACTAAGTTTCTCTATCACTATAAACAAATCTCAAGGTCAGACAATACCACATGTAGGCGTTTACCTTCCAGATCATGTCTTCAGCCATGGACAATTATATGTGGCTTTATCGAGGGGGGTCTCAAAATCAACCACAACCGTGTTAGTAAAAAGTGGCTCCATAGTAGGCCAACAAGGTGTATTTACACGGAATGTAGTATACAAAGAAGTCTTGCTTCATTACAGCTAATTATGGTGATTCCTAATAGGTAACGGCTTTATTAACGATAACATTTCAGTATGCATTTCTCACTTATCAATTAACTCTTTTTATTTGATTTTTAATTTTCTCACTATCGTTTGTAGATTGGCAATGAAAATTTGAAGCATCAATCATGAACAAATGGGTGGAAATTGCAGCATTGATGTCAATATGTAAACTTTCTTTTCAAAAGAAACAGTGACATATACACTCTATGAGTATTGTGAATAATGTACATATTGTTATGTAGGATTTATATTTTGACATTTAAATTGTTTTGTATTTTGCTACGAGTACTTACTGTTTTCATCTACTATTTTTTATTTATTTACATATACTTGCTATCGTTCATAGGCTTTAGGTAGGAACTTGCATCTAAAATCGTATGTTGTTTGATAAGTGCATGAATAACATTTAAATCATTACTTTACACAAAGTAAAAATGAAAAACATGATAACTTTTTAGGACGTGCATGATAAAAAAAAAGTTTCTCTTTGCACAATACATTTAAAGTATATCTTGACAATTACAATGGGAAAAACTAACACAATACACCTTTAGGGGCGCGTAGCGCCCGTGATGCAAAAATGCCTCTCGCACACACGTTAGTGCGTGCAGAGAGGCTAGTCTTTCTTAATATGCACTTCTAGTAACATATGTGGTATATCAAAAGCAAAATTAATGTGATGGTAAGAAATGCATCCGTGGGAGTTTGAATACAGATTTAAGTTAGATGTCTTTTTAATTAAGAAATTCTATTATTGTTAAAGGAATTTGCACCGTCTCAAAAGTCAATCTACAGTATAATATTAACTTTAAAATTAAAAATTCCCACCTAACATTTTTCATTTTGTTGTTTTTTTTTTGGGTGAACAACATTTTTCATTTTTGCCGGTAACAAACGGCAACGTTTTTCCCTTCCAACAATTCAACTCCCCGTTTAAAACAAAATTTTGCAAAACTTCGTATCCATATGAAAATAAGTGGACCAATAGGAAGCCAGAATTATTCATTAGGGATCCGCGTCACCAACCTCAAATCAAATCACAACCGGATATTGAAAGTGAGAAAACACAGCTAAGCCCATTCATAGCCGTTAGATACCACTAAGAGAAAACACACGGATAATGAATCGCAACCGTCGGATCTCCCAGAGAGTTTACAGTCGCACGTATATATACCCCTTAACCTCTCGAACGTTGGAATCTTTGGTTCATTCGAAGACGGAGAAGACCGAGAAAAACAGAGCGCGAACCAAGGAAAGGTACGAATTATGTGTTAAATTTTCAAATATTTATTTAATTTTTCTGAAGCTAAATTAGTGTTTGCTTATCGTTCTCGATTCGGTTTGCTTATGATTTTGATGTGGATTTAGGGTTTCTTTTTATTTTTATTGCGTTATCGGAGTTCGAGTTTCAGAATTAGGGTTTACATTGCTGTCGTATTTTTATGTGAAGATCTAGGGATTTGAGGTTGTTTATGGTATTTTAATGTTATGGTTTAGGGTTTTACGTTGTTCATGGTAGTCCAATGTAAAGATTAGGGATTTGGGACTGGGTTTTTGGATGAAAAGATTTTGGGGCTTCTGGGTTTTTTGTTTAGTTAATGCTTTGGGGTTATCGGAAAACCTAATTTTTTAATTTTCTTTTTTGTTTTGATTTCTCTAAGTGTTATTTAGATCCGTAATTGTAGCAGTTAAGTTTGGTTGCTCGGAAAACTTGCATCATATTTTTGGTCGAAAAAACAGAGGGTTTTCTTTCGGTAAAATGAAAGCGTTGATGTGATTAAATGTATTGATCTCCAATTTCTGAATGTGTTTAGATGGCCCGTACCAAGCAAACTGCTCGTAAGTCAACTGGAGGAAAGGCTCCCAGGAAGCAACTCGCTACCAAGGCTGCCCGTAAGTCTGCACCAACTACTGGCGGAGTCAAGAAGCCCCACAGATACCGCCCTGGTACTGTCGCTCTTCGGTAAGTCAATTGACCTCTTTCTTTTGTTGGTTCATAATTTTCAATTTTATTTTGTTGTTTCGTAATGGGTATGTAGTTTAGTCTGAATTATGCATTGTTTGGAATGTTTTGTGTAGTGAAATCCGTAAGTACCAGAAGAGTACTGAGCTCTTGATCAGGAAGTTGCCATTCCAGAGGCTTGTTCGTGAAATTGCCCAGGATTTCAAGGTATTAATGTTTTACATGTTACGTTAACTTGGTGATTTGGTTATGCTTTCAATGAATAAATGTGCTGATATGGGTTTTGTGTCTTTGCAGACTGATCTGCGTTTCCAGAGCCACGCGGTGTTGGCACTGCAGGAGGCTGCTGAGGCCTACCTTGTGGGTCTTTTTGAGGACACCAACCTTTGCGCCATCCATGCCAAGCGGGTTACCATCATGCCAAAGGATATCCAGCTTGCCAGGAGGATCAGGGGTGAGCGTGCTTAAGTGATGCGCCTGTCTTGCAACGTTGAGGGCTATTGTGGCGGCTGCAGATGGGATTGAAGGGGTGGTATGTAAAATGCTTTTGTGGACGGATGGAGGTGTTTTTGTGGTAAATGATAGGTGGGGGTAGGGTTTGGTACAAGATGTAGTGAATATTATGGTTATATGCAAAACAATCTTTTAAGAATTGCTCTTCTTTTGGTTGGTTTGTATTGTAGAATATGTGGAACCTGCTTCTGTTGGTCCAACATTTAATTTGTGTTTTTTGGTTCATTTGGTTGTCTGCGGCCTGACTGTTGGAACAATATTTCATCTAATCTAGTCTAGTTTGTTATGTCTCCTTGTTCCGTTGTTTGTTGTGTGCGTTGGATGATCGGTGAAGAACGTTTTGGCCTCGCATCGCATCGCATCATCATACTCATCAAAGATTTGTTGAATCGTTGTAATCAAGCGTCTTCTTTTGAGTGTTAAAAATTCGATTTAGACTGTCAAAAGTACTCTAGTACCAACAGTACTGGAATTTAACTGGAATATAGGGAGTTGTAAGATTTTAGTTGTCGCATGTTAAAAGGACTGCTACCACTAACTTTCGTCATTACCTACTAGTACAACCACTAACTCACGTCATTTGCAATTTCCACCATCACCTCCACCTCCACTGCCACAACTGCTACCACTGCTGTAGCCACCACCTTTATTACCTTTATCACCTTCATTTCTTCTGCACCCCATCCGCACTCCACTATTGGTATCACCTCCATACCCTCAGAATTATTGCAAGTGCAGTGCTGCCCACACAATTATTTTTACCTTTCATACATTGTTTTTTATTTTCAGTCATCATATCGAATGAATTGAAACTGATCAATGGTAAAAAATTAACAAGGGTGTGTGATCTAAAAATGAGTGTGATGTGAATATAAGCGTGTGATATAAAAATGTGCTTGTGAATAACATCATTCTTTTTGTAACACCACTGTGGAGCAAAAAATAATCAAGAAAATTATGAAAGCGACACATGTACTTTTGGGTTAAAAAGATAAAATTACTCTCGAGGCACACCGGGATTTCTACGCGCATGCAACGGACAATAACGGCTCAATCAAGGAAGAGACAAAGGTGATTAAAATGATATTTATTCAAAACTCTCTCATCACTCCTCATCAAATCCTCACTCAAAAGGTAACTCCCAATTATCCTATTTAAATTAGGATTCATTACCAAGTTAATTGCAAGATAACATCTTGCAATTAGCCTCATAAAACCACCATAAGTGGCCCGTCCCTATTCTCCAAATAGGACTGGCCACACCCCTATATATAGTCTCATTTCTCCACCAAAAAGCTAAGTTCATTCTCTCCCTAAAATTCGCTAAACACTTTCTCTCTCAAATTCTAACTTTGGCATAAGAGATTCTTCAGCCAAAGCCCCCTATTCATCGTGAGCGCGTGAGGCTCTTGACCTTGATCTTAGGTGTTATTATTTTGTAGGTGCATTTTCTTCAAAGGAGAAGACGACGAAAATTTACATCCACAACCACCGTTGCCCAAACACACTGCTACCATTTTTTTTTTTCCATTGGGTCGGGTAGAGACCAAAGGTCTTGAACGATCTATTTGGCAGAACAACTCAAAAGATAAAAAAATATCATTACTTACTGCATGTTCATTCCAAGTTCGAAGTACCATTTGAACGCATAAAAATTCTCCATCGTTGCCACCACCTACAACCGCAATCACCAACCTTACATCCCTCTCGTCATCACCACAACGGTTGTTGCCATTGCAACCCCAGCCGCTGCCACCACCGCCACCGCTAGGCTGACACCATTGCTAACTCTACACCTCAACTACGACATCCTATTATTGGTACCACCACCATACACCCACCATTAACGCTATCACCATGGCAACTACCCCCACAACTATTGTTGCCATTACCCCCACTATTATATTTATTTTTGTCATTATATATAATTATCACTCTTATATTAAAATTACTTAACCAAAGAGGCGAAAAGAGTCTGTTTTTCATACTCGCAGCACATAAAAATACAGTTTATTAAATGCTTAAGTGTTTTATTTTACAATTAATTATTCTTAAAGTATAACAAAATCAGTTTAAAGAAAAAAAAGCACGGCCCTAAGTTGGAACATTAACCCCTATAACAGTTCCGGCAGACTTATCAAAAGTGGAAGGTTGAGTAGCTCAGGAACGTCATCTCGTAACAGTTTCCGGTTCTTATCGGTCCACGAAGAAGCATAGTACATACATCCTCATACTTCTCGGAGACTCCTCAAATTTTCCAAAACTATCCCAACCTTATTCACCGAAGGAAAGTTAATAAGGGGTTTTGCCAAAGCCGCCATTAATCGTGTTTATGTTGCCAGATTAATGCGATTTGTTCGATTGCCTGTCCGTGTCCGTGCCCATGTCAACTTCATTGCAGATACTTGTTGCATCCTTCACTGCTTGATTTATCTACGGTTGAAGCTTTTCTCAACTTATGATGTATATACTTGCAATGTCAAGATTGGTGTGTTATCAAGAGCGGGAAAGATTGAAGCCGCCCGCCAATTGTTCGATGAAATGCCCACAAAAGACGTAGTTACATGGAACGCCATTATTACTGGGTACTGGAAAAATGGGTATTTTGGAGAGTCCAAGAGATTGTTTGGGCTGATGCCTGTTCGGAATGTGGTGTCCTGGAATTCCATGTTAGCCGGGAGTGTCGAGAATGAGATGGTCGACGAGGCTTTCATGTACTTCCGGGAGATGCCAGAAAGAAATATTGCTTCTTGGAATGCTATGATTTCGGGGTTTGTGAAATGTGATAGGCTGGAGGAAGCTAGTAGGATATTTCAAGACATGCCGAAGAGGAATGTTATTTCTTATACTGCAATGATTGATGGGTACGTGATGAAAGGAGAGATAGAGCGGGCAAGGGCACTGTTTGACTGCATGCCTCGCAAGAATGGCGTTTCTTGGACAGTGCTGATCAGTGGGTATGTGGAGAACGGCAAATTTGATGAAGCACGGGAATTGTATGAGCAGATGCCGGAGAAAAATGCGGTTTCAATGACAGCTATGCTCACGGGGTATTCTAAGGAGGGAAAGATGGAAGATGCGAGAGCATTATTTGATCAGATTCAGCGCAAGGATCATGTCTCTTGGAATGCAATGATAACAGGTATGCCATGTGCAATTACTCATCCATCACGATATACCTTAAAATTTCTTAGTTGGGTATTTTACTTGAGCTCGTTACATTGGTTTGCTAGCACTTACTAATACAATTAGGTCAGCATCTGCCTCGTCTGATTTTTAAAGCATTGTCCTAATCACTTGTCCCCTGACATGCCTGTTTTCATTTACAGGCTATGCACAAAATGGCGGCGGAGAGGAAGCACTGAAGTTACACTCACAAAAGCTTAAGATTGGTCTGCATCCAGATAAATGGACCCTTGTTTCGGTTCTGACTGCCTGTTCTAGTCTTACATCTCTTAAAGACGGAAAACAAGCCCATCTGCTCATTATTAAACATGGATTTGAATCAAACCTCTCCTTATATAACGCTTTGATTACCATGTACAATAAATGTGGTGCAATCCTTGATGCTGAGTTAGTGTTCAAACAAATTGAGTGTCCAGACCTCGTCTCATGGAACACCATTATTGCTGCATTTGCACAGCATGGTCTCAATAAGAAAGCTCTTGATTTCTTCAACCAGACTGTGGTGCACGGCTTCAAACCAGATGGTATAACATTTCTTAGCTTGCTATCTGCCTGTGCTCATGCAGGCAAGGTAAACGAGAGCTTGAAGTTGTTTGATTTGATGGTCAGCAGCTACAACATTGCCCCTAGATCGGAGCATTATGCTTGCTTGGTTGACATTTTGTGTCGAGCAGGCCAGTTAGAGAAGGCTTGCAAGATGATCCAAGAGATGCCATTTCAAGCAGACTCTGGAATATGGGGCTCTCTTCTTGCAGCTTGCAGCATTTACTTAAACGTGGAAATAGGGGAGCTGGCTGCAAAGAATATATTACATTTGAATCCTCGTAGTTCTGGGCCTTACGTTGCGTTGTCTAACATATACGCAGCTGCTGGAAAATGGAGAGATGTTGCAAGAATGAGAAGTCTGATGAAGGAGCATGGAGTGAAGAAGCAACAGGCACAGAGCTGGACAGAGATTGGGAATAAGGTGCACATTTTCTTGGGAGGGGATGTATCTCATCCAGATATTGATAAGATTCATTTGATGCTCAAAACGATCAGTCTCCATATACCTGCGGATGATTTTGTAGACATTACGTTTCATGGAGCTACTAGGTAATGAGTTCACTGGACTAAATGGTTCCATTTCTTCCAATGTAGACTTTGTAAAGTTGTGCACGAAGCGTTAACATGAAATGAAACTGCATAAATTTCGTTTTCGTCTTGTGGCTTATGTCGGGTCATGTTGATTTTGGCTTTCAGTTTTCATTTTTTTTTGAAAACTGAAAGTAATTATCAAAAGCTTTTTCAGCTTTTTCAGTATGTCGATTCATTTCGTATGCTTATTGAGCGAGATGTTCTTATGATAAAAGATGAACTTGTGGTTTTCGTACCTTTTTTTATCGGCCATTCTTGTTTAGGTTAATATTTAACTTTGGGTTTAGAGAAGAGAAAGCCCAAAAGAGTTCAATAAGAAGAGTTTCTGCCCGGAGCCCATCACCAAGCCCAAACCGTCCATCTCAAGACCAATTGGCGCTCCCCCATTAATGCAAAGGCTAGGTGCTTACAAGAGAAGTGACAACTAATGGAAATCAACCTATTCTCAGCCCAAAAGTACTTTTCAGTGGCAATACAAGTAAAATACTAATGAGTCACTACCCTTCAATTGCTTTCGGGTAAGAACAAAGCTACAGGCAGTTGGGCTAATTCGTCTATAAAAGGAGAAAGAGGGCCCAAAGACAAGGACACTCAACCAATCAAATAAACAAATATACAACTTGCCCTTCAATCAAGCAAATACTTAGAAAGCCGTGCTTCGTCCAGACTTTGCACCCTTTTAGCTTTAGATTTCCCTAGAAAGACATCCTTTGTCTATGCAAAAGCTCTGCTACCTTTTCCTAAATGTTGTAGTATCGATCTCCCATGTATAAACTCTTTTCCAGTCATCCCCTTTAACATACAATCCTTTCATAACTGCCAAGAGAAAAGACCGTAAGACGTTTAACCTTGCCCAACAAGGTGAAATCTTGCCCGACTCTCTTCGTTTTGTCTTTCAATTAATAGATTTGGTGTTATAATGCATTCCCCAGTTTATATTCAAGTTGTTTCCAGTATTTTGATG